CATTGAAGTCTGGCACATTAACCCACAGAGCCACACCAGGACTCCTATTGTGTATAAAATAATATGTTGTTGATTTTGATTTGCATTTCCCTAGTGGTTAATGATTCTGAGCATCTTTTCATTACTGGAAATTTGAATGATCTTTTATGGAGATTTATTTACACCTATTGCCCATTTTTAAATTGAGTTGTGTGCCGTTTTATTTTGAGTTGCAAGAGTTCTTTATATATTAGAGATATTAATTAGACCATTATCAGATATAATTTGCAAATATTATCTGCCACTCTGTGGATTCTCATTTTCCTAATGGCGGTTCTTTTTTTCCTGTCCCTTTTTTTTACTGAGGCAAAATTCATGAAGCAAACAAAATTCATGAAGCAATAAAAACGTTAGGTTTATCATATAAACCTAGGAGTTATATAGTTTTAGCTCTTATAGTTAAATCTATGCTCCATTTCACACTGATTTTTAGATATGGTATAAAAAGTCTGTTTTCACTGTTTTTCATGTCAGTATTGTTTTTCAAGCACTATTTGTTGAAAATGTATCCAGGTGGCACAGTGGTTAAGGTACTCAGCTGTAATTGAAAGATTAGAACACAGGAGAAAGATGTGGTAATCTGCTTCTGTAAACAATTACAACCCTGAAAACCAATGCAGCAATACTACTTTGTCCTGTTGGGTGCCATCAAGTCTGTTCCGACTCATAGGCACCCTGTATAGGTTTTTCAATAGTGGTTGGTGGGTCTGTGCTGTCATCCTTGCAGTTACCAGTCCAGTGCTTATCATACAGTGCCATGCTAGGGCTGTCCCAAAGGGTCACTGAATCAGAATTGACTCAAAGGCAGAGAGAGACAAGTATTTGTTGAAAGGACTACTCATCTGTCATTCCAAGGACTAAGCAACCCTCACCATTTAATCACAGATCATTTTTATCAGTTTGAAATATATGAAAAAACCTTTTTAATGGTACCAAAGCATTTAGTGAAAATTCAAACTTCCATCTCTTTCTCCAGAAGTAAATACTGCTATTTCTTTCCTTTTCTCCTTCTAGACATGTTTTCTTAGGATCAATCCTTGTTTACACAGAGTATAAAACAACACACTGTTCTGCCTTTTGCTTTTTTACTGCGGATTCTTTTTGGGGGTGATGAAAATGTTCTTGAATCAGATACCCGTAATGCTTGCAGCCTCGTGAATACTCTAAAAATCAATACATTGTATATTTTAAAATGATAAATTTTATATTTTATGAATCTTAACTTAAAAAATAATTTAAATGGGAGGTCTGTATGTTCTGAAATATATGATCCCGAAAATGTGAAATGAAAAAAGTATACAGAATTGTGCATGTGGCATACAATCATTTTTGGTTTTTAAAAAGTTACATATATATGCTTGCATAAAATCTGAAAGGATATGTAAGACCAGTAACACTACTTTCTAAATGGAAGAGGAAATCTGAGGTGGCTGCCAGACAGGAGTATCCTGGTTTGAATTTTGTACAAAGTACAACTACCACTTCCTTTTTTTAAATTAAGAATAATAAAAAGGCAGGCAGAGACGATGATGTGGAGAGATGCAGCGGCTGGAGACTCTAGACCCAGAGAGGGAGAGGGTCTGTGTGCTGACGACAGAGGGGCAGCCTTGTGGGGTATACCCTTTGATGATGCATGGAGGGGATTGTAACCATAGCAATGAAATGATATATGATAGGATAAATGTAAAGCTCCCATGTAAACTATCACATAATTCACAATAAAACATTAAAAAATAACATAATAAATAAAAAAGGAATACTGATGCGTTCTCTTAAGCTGTTTGATTTTAAGAGATCATCTTCATGTTCTTTTGTAAATTTAACAGATATCCTCCCACTTGTTCAGATTTATTCATCCTTTAATAGTTGAAGCATTGAACAATGAGTTTTAACTTTCAATCCTTAATAATGTTACATTCTTTATATTTGAGATTGTTTAGCTTTCTCATAGAGAAAATAAAAGCCTAGGTATAAACCTTTTATAGTACCCACATACTAGTCCTGCAACACAATGTTAATAGAAAAGTTTTACTGATACTCGGACAATTTCTATGATGTGGGCAGAGAGATCATTAGGAGTGACTGTCATCTGACCAATCTTGAAAGTCAACAGCTATGATTTTTCATCCACTGTTCAATCCATTTCAGTATCTGGTTTATATTACTCTCTAGATCTTCTGGATTATTGCTAACCAACTGATGTACTATTTCTTCATTGTAGGAGGCTCTGGCTTCTTCATAAAGAACTTGAAAAATTTCACACTGAATATTGTCTTGTAGTTTCTTTTCATTATAACCCCTAAAAGGCAGAGAGAGCAATAAGAAACAAAAAGCAAACTGAATGGCATTACCTGGAATTGTAGGAGCATACCATATACTGTCGCTATGGGTCGGACCCGACTCGATGGCACTTAACAACAACAACAACCATATACTGTACACTTTGAATCGAAAAAAAAAGAAGGAAAAATGCTTCCTATCATGTCTACTTACACTGGCACCGTAAATATAATAGAATGCCTTGACAAGAAGGCTAAATTATGGACCATGAGACCAATGTTTCGGTTTGTCTGAATTCCCCATCCACCAACAATTTGTCAGCCACTCAATTCACTACCAATCAATTAGCAAACATGAGTGCATGCTTACTTCAGGCCAGGTTCTGAAATGAGGTAAAACAAAATTTATGGTATTGGTCTTAGCTATCAATAAAGTTATTGTTGTTAAGTGCCATTGAGCCCTGTATTGGGTTTCCAAGGAGCAGCTGGTAAGCTTGAGTCACCGACCCTTGCGGTTCAAACTGACCTTGCAGTCTAGCTCATTAACCCACAGCACCACACTAGGATTAGGGGTTAAGATATACAGAAATAGGCGGCTGCACTAAGTAAGGGGAGCAAAGTGGGAAAATCCCACCTTCATCGCTAACCGTCTGGTAACGATCAGCTTCATCTTTCTCTCACAGAGCAGCTGATGAGTTTGAACCACTGGCCTTCTAGTCAGCAGCCCAATGCTTATCCCACAGTACCACCAGTGTTCCTTACAACTTAATAAGAAGACGACAATCCACTTAAGAAAAAAAAGAGCAAAGAATCTGAATCTATATTACTCCAGAGAAGATACATAAATAGGCACTAAATACATGAAAAGAAGCCCCACAGCACCAGGCATCAGAAAAACACAAGCCTCAAAGCCACAATGATATTTACTACTTCATAGTCATTAGGATGGTTACAATCCAAAAGACAGGTAACAAAAAGTTTTGGCAAAGATGTGGAGAAAATGGAAAACTCATTTTGGTGGGAATGTGAAACAGTGGGAAACTGTTCCTCAAATGCCAATCAGATCCATATCCATATCCAACAGATCTATATCCAGGTATATATTAGAAATAAACAAGAAGATGTCCACCCAAAAATTTGTCCATGTATGCTTATAGCAGTATTCCTAAGAGTCATAAAATGAAAATACCAGATGAAAATACCTGGATGAATAAAACTTTAATAATAAAACATAAAATTTCGATATGAATTTAAATACTATATATATATAATACAATATGATGTTTTAATGATAACAAAAGGAGTCCTGGTGTGGAGCAGCACAGCAGGATAATGTGATGGACAGCAAGGTCAGTTTGAACAGCAAGGTACGCAGTTCAAACAGCAAGACTGAAGAGTCAAACCCACCAGCTGCTCCACAGAAACTCTCTACAGGGTCGCTATGGGTCAGAATCCACCTGAC